AGGGAGACACCATTACCAAGAGGGTCGCTTTCCCGCGGAGCTAGGACCTCGAACTATGGATTTGGCGAAGTCGTTCATGCGTTGACAGGGCTAGCTGGGGACGCGTAGAAGCTGACGGCAGTAGTAATGATTGCCGTAAACGAGATTGTCCATTGAAAGTAAACGGACATGACGGAAGTAGGAGCAGGCGATCAGCGCGCACCAGCGTCTCGCAGGCCGCTGAGTAGGGATGACATTGGTATATTTGCAGAGGTCTGAGACGCCACCACTACTCAAAGGAAGCTTGCAGTAGCAAAACTCAAAAGAGCGGCTTGAGTAACGGCAGTGATGCTCCATGTCGTGCTTTTGGAGGTGCCTAGACGCGTGCCACTCAATCGAGTTTCGCGATGTTGACCGGCCACGTGAGAACTAACCATGTTTGGGATTAGTCACCGAAAATCCTGTAAGGGCTGCATCTTCCGTGCCTTCCGCTTCTTGGCTAGTTTCTACACAGACAATGAATGCTAGCAACCTCCAATCCAGGCTCCTCGGAGCTGCCAGCTGTCGCCGCTGATCGGCAGCATCATCGCGCAGTATGTCTTTAACCGTTGGTTTCGACTATTCTACGACTTACTGCCGGTTTTTCTCGATGGGGAAGTGCTCTGCAGTGCTAAGCGCGGGAACTTGTATCCACAAGCCGGACGGTTCCTGAACCTGCATTGATCCTCACTGACAGGTTTGCACAGAGCGGCTGTTCTTAAACTTCACCTTTATTCCTACCATGACATACCATGGCTGATGGCGTTCAATGCAATAGCCAGAGGATGTCACCAAACTACTTAGCAACCTCGGCTTAAGCACATAGACCGCAGGGTTTCACGAGTACCTAGCGCACTGACTGACTCGTTATCGTGGCCGTCGGCACTTGATGGAGGCACTGTACGACCTGGATTTGGCTCCAAACTTGCATCATCCACAGCGCTATTATCGCGTCTTGGACGCAGAGTCTGTCGCACGAACGACCATGGTTCGCAAAGCTGAAACCCATGCTTAGAATATAGTTGTACGGCAACGATCAATTGTCCGAAGATATGTCAATGGCTTGCCTGGCAACTGTTGCTCGGTTATCCCGACAATCAGAACACGGCAAGATATCTCAGCAAGGGTATCGCGGTTTACCACGTCGTTGAGTTTTGCTTGCAAGACCCAAACGGGTCATACTACAAGAGGTGGAGCCGCGGATTCCAAGGGAAGATTGCGACATGACCGTCGCGGGCATCAGGGATGCACAGCACTTCCGAGTTCCTGGAAGTTCCTGGAAACAACTCCGCACCCATTATTGCCCGGTTGGTCGCCTGTCCGGCTCTCCCAACGTTAATTGGCCTCAGCTCAACGTCCTTCCCGCCTGGTACCTTTGTGTCAAAATGCCGGGGAACGTTTACCAGGCCCCCGAGCGAAGGTTCAACTACGGAACGGAAAGAACTCCTGGAGTAGAGTTCTGCTGTCATGATGGCGAAACCGTATCCAAAGCCGGAGAGCAGGCCGACCTCTGTTCAGAATTGCGCAACAAAGAGCTTTTCGGACTCGCACTCGCTGCACCCCTTTCAAGCCGTGGTTGACGCATCTGTCGCACAACCCATGCGATCGGTTGCAATGATCCTACGATGTACTGGGTTACCGCTGATCTTCAGTCTTTCAGGATGACATCCGCAACACCGCACCCAGGCTTGAGCAAAATGTAAGCAGGTGTCCACTTCCAGGAACGCCCTACGGTTATATTCTTCAGTTTGCGCTGACTTCCGAGGTCCTTACATCGGCATCTGACACGGCAGACGCTCCTGGTTCAGAAGAATCTCACTCGTGCGAGAATATTGATCATGTTTCAAACGATCAACGCTTGCAGTAGGTAGGCGACATGCATTAACAAAGTTTTCACGTTGTGCGATGTACCTCTGTACCGTCCAACAACACGGCGAGTCGGAGGACCACCCGCGGGCTCCTAGGCCAAATGCGTTCTTCAATGCAGCTGAGACGATTACCGGAATAGGGACGAGCATCAAAGCCAGAACAAGACAAGTTTCCTTGTCTCGATTGAGCTGGCAATCTCTTAGGCCATACCGCCTAGGTACATGCTTTTGACACAGTGCAGTGCACGCAAGAAGCATAGCATCAACGTCGCCTTGCACTTTGTTATCGTGAGCAAAGTACACTTCGCTACACTGATCTTTTCTTAGCAGTCCACCATGAAGTGTTTGTTGAAAGATATCAGTGCTTTTCATAAGCATTCATATTTCTTTTTCTCTTGTCTCCACAGCACAGCATCGCATCACAGTCATTAGGTCCCGGAAAGATCCTCACAATAGTGTCTTTTTCTTCCGAGCGATCTCCTTCCTTTTTCGCGCCTGCACGTTGCTTATCTCTTTTTATGCATGCACACAAGATGCGCCTATGCGGCGCAGTCAGATTTCGACGCATCCCACGCCCGCACACCCATCCACACAAGCACGAGCGCCCGCCCCAGAAAATCCTAGCGGCTAACCAACCCCCGCAGCCGCCCAACCAACACGTTTGAGAAAAAAATCTCCGCACTCCCGCGAAAAGTGTGGCCGAGTGACTGCCGCCTGGGCAAGGCGGGTGTGGCGTAAATTGTTTCGATTGGAGTCTTGGATTCTGCAACCGCCGCATTTTGCTGTGCCACTGGTAGTACGTTTCGTGGGTGGGGAGGCAGGAATGCGGCGTGGTTAGGGGACGTGGGGTGTATATACTTTACGAGGGAGGCAGGTTGATTGTTACCAGAGACGTGATGCAGCGCATCGTGCTACAATACCAAGGTTCTTGAGTGCATTCATCGGTCCGATACTTGTCCAAGGTTCTAGACGACTCGCATCGCGAACTCGTCTTTCCAGCGAACATCCAAAACCGGCACGCGGAATCTCGCGCGTCAGCCCAGCACAAACATGGAAACCATCTTCACATTCATCACACTTGTCGCTCTCGCATCTTCTGCGCCATTACCCACGTCACAATCAATTGAAGCCCTCCCGCTCGTCTCCCTCGCCCTCATCGGATCACCATCACACTACACAATCGGATCGGCGCAAAGCCCACAACTTTCCACGTTCACATCTACATCCGGAAACGCGTGGTCGATACATATACCCATCGATGTATCCCTCGATCTAAGCACACGGCCAGAGCATGTCCAGGCCATCGAGGTCACTGGAGTAGAATCGGGAAAGGACCTGGCGGGAGAAGAGGTAGAGAAGGATGATAGGGGTGTGCTGTGTAAAGCACGTTTGGGATGGGGGAGTGAGGAGGTGGTCGTGGGGATGGGCAAGGGGAGGGTTGTTGTAGATGGAGGGAAGATGGGTAGGGTTACTGGGTTGAGTTGTTGGAAAGCGGGGGTGTAGGGAACACATGCATGATTTGAGTGAGTGTTACAAGAACAAGCAGCTTCGCAAAGAGTCCTGGAGGATGCTTTGTTGCATGAGGGTTTGATGTGTATACAAACTGGTTTCTAATCTTTAATTCTCCTAGAGGGCGCATGCTCGTCGTGGATATACCTTGTGACTTAGTATCTTGTCGTGTTTCACGAACAAAACTTACCTATATTGTAACTACGTGGGTGGCTATGGGGAGTGACGTCCTCACGCACGGTAACCTTGCATCAGCTTCTCTACAATGCTGATGCCCATCTGCTCGTCTGCAGAAGGTGGCTTCTCCGGCTTCTCTTCCTTTGCAGAAGTAAAGCCCTCTCGTTGCATGATCTGCTCCATCATGCGAATGCCTCTGAGCTCTTGTAGTGGGGGGATGTTCTGTATGCCCTCGGGATCTACAGTATCAAAGTCCAGGGCACCGGTGGGTTTCACCGCGCCAGCCACCTCGTACAATGCGTCTGGCGTAACGACAAAGTCGCTTTGTACCTCTCCCGACGTCGTTGGTGTTACCTTCTCCACACCCAGTTGTGCCTCGTCGACCACCTGGCACGCGTGTGCGACAGCAACAACGGGGGTATTGGGCTGCAGTACCTTCAAGTCCTGCAGCATAGCCCACTGCACTTCGAATAGATTGTGGCCCTCCCATATCGTCACGCCCTGCGCGTTGAAGACGAGACCCCCGATAGCGCACATGTCTACCTTGAGACCTTCATCCCGCATCTGCGAAAGCGATACCGCTCTCCCTATCCCCGGTTTCTCCATGCCGTCTAGACATGCAGCCATCTCGTACTTGGACTCGCTGATCCTTCCGGGATGCAGTAGTACGAAACCTCTGCGTAGCCTATATGTCGCTACCAAGACCCTCTTCCCGTCTTTCAGGGCTCTGTATCGCAGTTGTTCGAGGCTATTGTCGGGCGTGACGAGGATGACGCTGGCCGACTGGTAACATGGCAGGGAGACTAGGCGGTCGATTGCGGAGGCCGAGCTTCGGAAGTCGGGTGTGAAGGACATGAAGTCATAGTTGAAGCGCGCGTCGGGAATGGCGTGTTGGATAAGGTCCTGGTATACGCGTGCCCATATCAGCTTCCTGCTGGAGTCGGCATCGGGAGAAGCAGGGGCCATCATTGGGAGAGACCGGAAGCGAGCGAAGTGCGGCTATAAGCCTGGGTATACGTGATGTGTGATGCTGGAAAGGCGAACGACAATGTGTGGAGTCTGCGCCGTGCAGCGTAACAAAGGGCGGGGGCATGTCGGCCCTGGCGCTGACTAACCGGACCGCCTCGTTTTCATGTACAACCTACCTCCCTCCATGTCAACTTTGTTAGATACCCCGTGGATTGTTTTCTCAAGACTGTCTCTTCACGATGCACGACAGTCGCTTCGTCAGAACATTGGCAGAGATCCGGGTTTACCCGTCCCCGCACCATTGGGGTAAAGTCCCCGCGTCGGGCTACGCCAAATCGGCTACATGATTACGTCCGTCATATTACCGAAGAGTCACATATCTCAAGGCCAAGACGCATTGCAGAGCATGCTGTGAGTATTGGGAGTAGTACGTCCGAGCAGGCACAAATAACTTCCATGATGGGGAAGCACAATGACATCGAACTACGAACAGCTGCGACACCTTCGAACCGGTCGTCGATGGAAGGCAGCGGAGGGACAACACCAGAAGAGCGCATCGCAGAAGCATCGAATATGGATTCCATCAACACCGGTCCGCCAATACTGGAACCTCGAAACCCTATCGAGCCTCTCGAAAACGTTCAAACAGACGCCGAAAGAGATCAGCCGACCATTAAGAAGAAGACATACAAGCATGCAAAAGCCTTGGAGATCTTGAAATGGTTCGTCAAAGACCAGTGGTTCCTCCTCGCAATGGGTGCCGTAGTCCTTATCTCATCCCAAGTCCAAGTCCCAGCCTCACAGCAGCGCACAAAGCGGACGGTAATCACATACCTCGCAGTCTCCGTCATCTTCTTCATCAACGGCTGCACACTGGACACACGGGTCATGCTCGCCAACTACATGCGCTGGAAACTACACATCTTCGTCCAATTACAATGCTACCTCGTCTGTTCAGCAGCCACCTTTGCCATTGTCAGCCTATGTGCGACGAATCCCAACTTCATGGACCCATGGCTATTGATCGGCTTCCTGTTCGTCGGCAGCGCACCTACAACAATGTCCAGCAATGTTGTCATGACGAGACAAGCTCATGGAAACGCGGCGCTCACGGTAGTTCAATCCGTCATTGGTCAATTCCTCTGTCCCTTTTTGACACCCATCATCCTGCAAATGTATCTTTCTACGGGATCGTGGTATAGCAAGGTTCTCCAGCGTGGCTCTGGTTACGCCGGCATTTACCAGCGTGTCTTCATGCAACTCGGCCTGTCGCTATTCCTTCCAATGTTGGTCGGACAGATTGTACAACGCCTGTTCCCGAAGATTACGAAGAAAGTGTTCTTCGAGTGGAAACTGCTCAAGCTTTCGTCAATCGCGCTTCTCACGATGGTGTGGCAGACTTTCGACCAAGCGTTCTCTTCTGGTGCGTTTGAGGCCGTGAAGCCGTCGAACATCATCTTCATCGTCTTCATCACAATCGCGCTGTACTTCATATGGCTCGCCATATGCCTCACAGCCGCTACTTTGTGGTTGCCGAAGAAGGATGTTATTGCATGCTGTTATTGTTGCCCGGCAAAGGCTCTTGCTATGGTTGTCCCCCTCACGTCGGTCATGTACATCAACATCGATCCGGTTGATCAGTCGAAGATGCAGATACCTGCGATCATCTTCCAGGCTTTCCAGGTTGCTATTGGTGGCATCATGACCATTGGTTTCCGCAAGTGGATCCGACCAGAAGAAGAAAAAGAAGAGGCGGAAAAGAACGTGGAAGCAGGCGCAGCGAAGTAGAATTGGAAAGAAGACGGAACTACGCCGATATGTATTACGCCCTAAACGTCTATACTATGCGCGAGCATCCGATTCTTCCGCAGGCGCCTCTCCGCTCACCCCATCTTTTCGCTTTTTTGGATTGCAAGAATATGTAGACATAGTGTATAGTAGTCAAGAACGCCAGATATGCCAAAGAAAAATCGTCTCGTCAAGCCGTGTTTTGCTCAAGTAATGCAGCAGCATCCGTTGGGAATCTGAATCAATCAGCTTGAGGATCTGCCAATGGAAAGGGGATACATACGCATTTGCATGTCCCAGCGAAGCCATCACAAGGGCACTCAACGCAGGTGACTGAGGCAACAGTGCCGTCCGCATTTCTGACTTCCTTGACGGATCGTTCAAGACTGACCTGCGCCATCGATTAGCTGGGGGAACCTCCAGGTAAAGCCAGACTTCTCACTGCTGCGGGCGATGCAAGCGCAACCGAGGCGGCGACGACCGCGATAATAGCCGAAAGCTTCATAGTGTAAAAGGTACCGAGTCTCTGTAACTGTTGGCAACGGAGCAGGATGATTCCAAATGTGACAAAGGATTCAAAGGAGTTTTTGATCGACGCAACAACAGCACAAAGAAGAAGCAAATGCATTAGACAGGACGATCCCGCCAGTTCTTAAGCAGCAATACTTTTTGCCCATCAATGCTACTAATTTGGCACCCTTGCGGTAGTCCTAGCTCGGCCTCCAAACTTTCTTGTGCCCTTGCTCCCCTCATCAATTTTCGCATATTGTGTACGACGCGCGCACCGGTTCCCCGCCCTCGTGGCAGAAACATGTTTTCGCGGAAGATTAATCTATTATCACGCTGGCGTTTACTGGCTGGACCTCGCTTCAGTGCTGGACCCAACTAGGATAATTTGCAAAACGTTCCGGAACATCGGAGTTTACCTCACATATCTCATGAGCCGCGATGCAAACACTTTCTTGCATCCCGGGTAAATGGTCACACGAGACTGGGGTGCATATTGAAAGACCAGCGCATGCGGGCGCGCGCGCGCGCAGGAACGGAGACTTTGGCAGTCTTTGCATACATAGACACACACACATACGGCGTCGCAATTTATTTTCTTACTGCCGATGCGGAAAGGTCATTGGATGCAAGGAAAATACCCGTCGATAAGAATCATAGTATGTGCAGGGCAGGGCATGCAGCGGACCAAAGCCTAGATCGAGTGTACATCCGTCCACGTGCTGCGTCGCCTAGGACAGCTGCCGACAGCAACAAAAAAGGAACGCATGCGCGCACCCCTTTATGTTGTTCTGCGGCGTACGCCCGCCCTGACGTCGTGGCACAATCGACCCGACGACCAGTTTTGGCGTGTCTCGAGATGCCTCTTACGCACGTCATTCTGCGACGCCTCGGTGCGGGCGCGTATATCATCGACAGGCACAATTCCTACGCGTTACCCTCGTGTGTTGCGAGAAGCTGATCCGGCACATACCGAATAGTAAATCCCCTGTTCTAGGCTTTTCGAACATGTCCCTGAATCCGGCACTAGTGTTGAGTACATATACGAGCATGCAGTCGCTTTGGCTATGGGACTACTGCACGCTTTGCACGTTCACCGAACAAAGTTTCAAGCTAGCAGCGTCGCCTACAAGGCATTGCGACTCTTGACTGTGCGGGCGGCGCATCAGCCGTGTATTGTTCATCACTAGAAACCGCGACAACAATCTAGGGCGAAAAGCATCGGTGCTTGGGCCTCCATCGCTATATGCAGATGACGGACTGCTTTGGTTGAAGCGACTTTTCGGCTAAAGCGGCGCATACACGAGGTTCTTGCCATGCTATGGATCTAGATGCACGGAGTCTGGATGCTCTCTAGGTCATCACGTGCAATACATGTCCTCGGCAATATGCGTCCGTCCTACGAGACGGCTGACGACCATGTCTCCTGGCACTTCTCTCCTTGAGTGCAAGTATTCGATTTCAAACATCTTCCTTGCCCTAGTTCATAGTCCCAGACCCGTCTCCGGAAACCCGCTCAGTCATGTTCCAAGCCAGCTCGGCCAATCCATCTCAACACCCAGCTACATCTCGACCATCAAAGACACTTCTAAATGTCGACTTGGCGTACCACAAGTGCATCCATGCAGAATGACTTCCCGTCTTACCACCATCCCCTCCTACCAGCGTTCATCAGAATCTTCCTCGCCTCCTCATTCCACCTCTTACTTGCTTTCTCCCGTGACCTAGGTCGCTGCTTGTACCCCCCATTCCCATACGTCCCGTCATTACCATACTCGAACTTAATCTCCTTACCCCTCTTATCCGGATTATCAAAGCGATCTAGCCAGCGATTCAGATGCGCACGACTATCCTTTGCACCCGCCGAGTAACTCAGGATAATCCTGATCTTGCGCTTTGCTCTCACATCGTCGTCGTGGTCTGCTCCTACAGCCTGTGATTCTGGGTAGTTGCTCAGCCGCTTTAGCTGGGCTTGAGATAGACGGTTTAGGAAGGTGACGACGGGTGCGAAGTTGTGGTTGCGGACTACTGTTGTGATGACGGGGGCGTGGAAGAGGACTGCGTCGAGGAATTCGGCGGAGATTTGGTTGTTTACTCCCACGAGGCCGCAACGGGTGACAATGTTGCGGGAGCCGGATTTTAGTTTTGAGCTGCGGTCCGAGTTTAAGATGTGTTTGTAGATCTCGTCTCGTAGTTCTCGTGGGAGAGCGAGGAATGGGGGTAAAGTATAGTTATGTTGCCGTGACTCTATGGGTACGATATCCGTATCGCGTTCATCGACTTTCCCATCAACACTCTTGATGGTAGGAAGATCCGTCGTAGATGCGACAGTTTTGCGTGCACGTTTCCTAGGTGCTGGCGCATCGTCGTTGGTGGTGTCAGCCACTGGTTTGGCGGCTTGCTCGGCCTGTTTGCGCTTCGAACGCCGAAGTTCTGGTACCGCTGTGCTAGTCATGATTAAATTTGTTTCCCGATGTTCCCGGAATCTCAAATGATTGCGAATCGTATACATATACTCGACGCGCGCCAAGCCAACATGGTGAACCTCTCAGGCAGCAGCTAGGCAACGATGGGGTGGCCTAAGGTGGACTAGCTATATCCGGCGAGCGCCAGTTCAAGCAACGCTCCACTATTGCCATCAGAATGCAAGGCTAGTTTCCCTCTCGTGCTACGACACCACAACCCGACGTATCTTCATATCACGTAACACCATTTCATAGCGACCATCTCCTCACAGATTCTTATGGAATTCACGAGCAGCTCGTAGAGTAAGTCGTTGCAGCAACAATGAAACTCAACGGGACCGATCTGACCTGGATTTGCGCGCTAATACGATGCGAAGTGTCATTTGGTTGAATAACTCTGGAACTGATTCTTGTAGCCACAACTCCAGCAAACGTTTCTCAAGTCTTGTTATCCCGCGCTGACACTTGCCTATATTATCCGGCTTTTCCTCGAACTTCACGGGGTTCGTCGCTCACCAAAACGCCAACTCCTCGCTCGAACGCTCAGCACAACCTCCTACGCCCAGATGTAATCAAACTATCTGGACCAACGACAACGGATGTCATTACTCAGCATGTTCACTGGCTACGATCGTACCTGCATCGGCCAGAATATGAGCAGAAGCCACACCTTGTGCAGCGAGATGGCGATCGAGCCTCTCTGGAGTCTCGATCTCATGCTCGCTCGCGTCGTCTCGCCCCTGCTGGAGTCCGACGACAGCAGTTGTAGCATCGTATGAGGACAGTGGGTTATCGTTGATCGTTTCCAACTCGTAGGTGTTCCCCGCCGCACCTGGAGTATTGAGCGTATCACCAGGAAGGTCGGTAACTGGCGTGGTGCGGGCTGCCAAAGAGTCAGCTCCGGCCATCGGACATCAAAGACCGTACAGCAGGAAAGCAACGAAACTGATCGCCAGCTACGTACAGGCTCGCTCAGAAGCGCGTTCCAGGCATTTCACCACACACATGTACACGCCGGTAACAAAAGCCCCAATTGTCACGACTCCGATAGTGTACTTCCACCACAGAGCTTCGCGCTCGATCGGCTGGATGTAGGAGCCCGGCGGCGGGACGGTTGCGTTGCCCGGATAGAGGTGGGTGCCTAGCAGTGGTGGTCAGCCATGCCTAAGGGCTTATACCCCACACTTGAAGCGCGCCTGCTAGGTTTCGCATAGTCTGCTGCATTGCACTTACTATTCAAAGCGACGAAGAATGGAGTCACGACCGGCATGTTGATGTCTACGCAGGCTTTAGTGATTGTCGTCATCGTCGGGCCGCGACGAGAGAACCCCTTCTCACGTACCTGGACTCAAAGGAGGTTCGACTTTACTGCAAGATTGATGTTGGTTGCAGGTCAGATGAAGTATGCAATATTGATCAACGCACCTCACGCTGTAATCGTTCGGTAGAAACGCTGAAGTGCTTGCAATTATAGTCTTTCTGTCGCGGTTGCCCTTGCGGTCACCGACGCTGTACCTAGATAGTCCTTCCATCGCTGTTGCCATTGCGGCCACCGGCGAAGCGGCCAATCATATCGTCTATTGCCATGGATGTCAAAATGTGGCTAAAGCATAATGACCTTCCAAAGCTGATTAGTTCTCGTTTCGTTCAAGGCATCGCTCTTCCACGCTAGAGATTGCAGTGCAGGGAGGATTAAAGAAGCGTCGGTTGCCCTACGTTATAGTGCGGCCACCTCAGCCCTACCAATTTGATATCGCTCACCTTGTAATACACGCCATGGCCACAATAAAACTACGTTCTACTATAAGTAATGTTTGGAGTTCTGAAGTATGTTCATTGAGACGCCCTGATATGTGTCATTACAGATGGGAAGACCACCTCCTCGTTTCACCAATCTCTCGATGATCCAGCAGCCCACAGCACTTGACCGTTATCGAAAACCGACCAGATGCTAGAAATGCTAAGAGTACTTTGTTGCAGTCTAGTATCAATCATATTCGCGTACAGCGTTGCTGCTCTTGTCATTTTGGCAAACGCCACAGTTCTGCACCCATGTGTACTGCTAAGGGGACTGTATATGTTGTTTCGCTGTCATCTGCGTAAGAAGCGGGCGGAAGAGCCGATGTCACTGACAGAGACTAAAATCATCTCGATTTCTAAGTGAAGTCCCAGCGACGAACATCCAACAGGGCTAGAACGTGCGGCATGGCAGAAGAACACGATGCGAAAACATCCATCAGTCTTGAGCGCCAAGACTGCGAGAAGAGGGTTCAAATTGCTTTTTGGGAAGGCCTGGTTCTTTGCTGTGGCTGGACTGCCGGCTGTTCCGCCATTGCGTGGCAACCACGGGGACCGCGGGGCTGACGTCGGCCCGACCCCATCCGAATTTTGTCAAAGCAACCTCCCTGCGCTCAACTGCTCGAACAATCTCACGACATCTTCACCACTCGATCTCAACGACGCATTCATCGGCAGCTTTGCGTCAGCGTATAAACTGCCTGAACCTTGTGAAGATGATCAGCTACACTGCGGTTGAACTTCGGACGCGCAGCTCAGGGAGAATGACGTACGAATGCCCAGGGGGCTAGAAGCGCTACTCACGCACTCGATACTTGTCTACCAAATTCCTTACGTCCCTATAGCTGAAGAGTCTAAATCGAGACCAAAGATGTCGACATTTGCACCCTCAAAATGACGTTTGAACGCATCATCGTAGCTCCCGCTGCCACAGCTGAAACGCCTAATTAAGCTTCGAAGCCTAAGTACATGCAGGTAGCTCAGGTACCACTGAGTATAGTACCGTATTTGTGGTCTAGGGCTTACTTGATTTCCCCAAATGGATAAGTTACGAACTGTTTCCAAATTCTGCCCCATCAACTTTGCGCGTTAGTGTAGTCTAGCCGGCGATCTTGCGTTCGCTCCCGAACGATCTGGCGAGTTCACCCGTATTTCTGGATGAGATTTTTCAAGCGTAGCTTGACCAAAAGGTCGGGTTCTGCACTCTTAACCCTTCGATACATTCTTCTACCAACTGTACCTCTTTCTTCGAAGAGCAGCATCAAGTATGCGCTCACTAATTCTTCTCCCTTTGTTTGCTTTGCTGCACATATGTCAGGCCTTCACATCGCCTGACATATACTCCGTTACGCAGCCAGCAGGTGCTAGTCCGGATCTAGGCGCAAACAGTCAACCGGCTACGGTGCCATCTCAATCGAGGTATGAGGATCAAATCTATGTCTTGATTATCGTTATTAACAACGTTACAATAGGCATGCAGCTGGACCGAACTCCGGATTGAACATCTTCATACCAAACTACAAGGCAGATCCTAATTGGTAGGTAGTCTTATGGAAGCTGAAACCAGATCAACTAACGACCTTGTCCCAGGCTTCCACTTACGCTATCTCTCAAGACAGTCGGTTTACAAGTGAAGGTCATTCAAACACTGAATCTCTCTTCGCAATGCAGAGATCTACTCATCTACACGTCCCCAGGCGTGAACTACAGCCCGAGCGCTGCCGACGTCATAACCTTGACCTCCTTTGTGACCAAAGGTGGTAGATTGATCTTCATGAACCAGGTTCCTACGGCTCTTCAAACCCTTGCAGGTGTTACTGCATCTAAAGTAGACTCGAGTGGATCGCGGTCCGTCATCCAGCTGACAAACACCGAGACGCCCGTACAGGCGCTCCAAGGTTTCGACTTCTCAGAGTACTACGACGTAAACATGCCATTTTATGAGAACTACACCGAGAGTGGCCTAATCAATGTCGGCTATACGGCTGCCAGAGGCTCACAAACACTTGGTAAATATTTGGTTCGAAACGATGGCGTGGACAGCGCAGATACATCGGCTACAAGCGCTGCCATCGTCAAACATCAGCCTTTGGGCTCGACCGGATATGTCTACAGTTTTGGTATGGACCTGGGATATTTGTTTAACCAAGCTCAAAATGAAGCCGGCGGCTACTCGCCATGGTACGACGGACATTATTACCCCGGGTACGATATCGGCACACGCATCATCAAGAACATTGTCACTACTAGCCCCCATTTCGTCAGCCTATGGTCGGTTCCGTACAACAAAGGCCTTGCTTTCACCACAACCTGGGATATCGATACTTATGTCTCGTATCCCCACGGCCAGGGTATCGCAGCCGCCGCGCAAGATCGCGGCGCTGCGGGTAACCTGAACCTCCACACCAAGTACGTCACCGATGCATACGAGACTGCATACTTCCAGTATGGCGTTCCGTACATCTATCAGATTAGCGGGTTCCGCACTGCTCCTGACGGCAACCCATATATCGACTTTGGTAGTCACACTGTCAGTCACTCGCCGAACGCAGCTGGTTTCGGCTATGGTACTCTCAATGAGCGATTCCTCCAAGGAACCGACTCAGGCTACTATCCAGTCATACACCAATGCGGACCCAACGCTGACGGTACGCCCACCAACGGAGAGGTATGCACCAAGGGAGGTACCAGTGGACTCTCTTTCTACACATCAGGTGCTTCCTCATCGGGAGAGGTCCGCGTGAGCGCTTACTTGATTCGACACATACTTCACGATGAGTTCAAGACCAACTACAACATGACCACCTACCGTCCAGGTAATCTTGCTTGGAGCAAATACCAGGCCACGCATTGTGTGGCGAACGGAATTATCGGTGGCTCTTCGTGCGCGGGCAATTCGCATCTCACCCATCTTCCTTTCCAAGTCACTCACAACCGCGAGTCGTTCCAGGAGCTTCCATACTACGAGTTCCCGCTTCAATGGTCTGACGGTGATGGAAACATGAGCAGCGCCGACTTTCCAGGGTCGGACTTCTCGAACCAGATCAAGTACATCAAGAAAATGGCACGTTATGGCGGCCACTACAACATCTTGATTCATCCGTCAGATGCGTTGTTCGACAAGATCCAAATCCAGCGCGCTCTTCACGACACCGTGCGTCCTTTCGCGGTCTTCTTCAACCAGACAGGAATTGCCAATTGGTGGACTAATCGAGACCGTGCAATTGTGGACATCACAGCAGCAGACAAGTCATCTGCTATCATGACGGTTCGTTTGGATGGCGTTACAGAAGGCCTCACCCTACAAGTGCCTCGGAATTACGTCTTCCAATCCGCGACGGGCTCTCTTTCAGTCTGCCAGCAGGTTTCCTACGATGGAACGACGAACGCAGTGGTACTGCGAAACACGTCAAAGGGTCAATTTACACTCTACTTCGCCGTCGGTACAAACAATGCAACCACCTCCACGTGTCCTGATTTCACTCCCAAACCGCTGGGAGACACGGAATGCATAGCATGGGACGTCATGATCGACGATTTTCTGGAGCTTTACTTTGGCAGCAACAACGTCAACCTGCTCTTGTTGCAGACATCTGCAACAGGACTCTCGTCGAATAACATAGACGGCACTTTGCAGCTCACTGCAACTACCGATAGCGGTGTCAATGCGTACTACACGGAGATCTCCCGCTTTTGCTTCGACGCTTCCATCTACACACATCTCTACTTTGACATGGTCGCTCCCACGGGATCCAGCTTTTACGTACAGCTTGTTTCGTACGACTCTGGATGCAACACCGAACAACCGAGCGCTTCGTACTTGGATGTGACTAGGTACGCACCTGCTGATGGCTCGAACCATACTGTCACCATACCATTGTCAGACTTTACGGGCCAAGACATGAAGCATGTTCGCGGAATCCGCATCGGCAACATCTCGCCAGCTCAGACACCCATCTACATTGACAACATCAAGATCCAGAAGCGATGTGTGACAGCACCAGGAGAAGACCGTACCCCAGGTCTGGCGGTTGAGTCATTCCAGAATGTTGACCGATGGATCACTGGTATCAACAACATATTTGGTCAGACTGACTACAACAACTCGATGACGTTTGCGAAGCTCTCGGAACTGGGAAGGATGCAATTGCTGCCTTCGAATGCCAACTCGTTCTTCTATACCGACACGAATGTTGATGGAGTCTTTTTGAATGCTACTGCATACACAGGAGTCTCTCTCAACGCCCGTGGCCCATCTGGTGGCTCCTTCGATGTCGTCCTGACATCGAGCACCGGTAAAACCTCTACTGTCAACACCAGGTCTTATGCTTCCTTCAGCCAGAGTAACTTTGCCAACATCACGATTCCCCTTACCGCTTTCTCAGGATTCAACACCGACTCCCTTAGCCGCATCACGCTACGCAACTTTACACCCAACGGCGGCTCTGCTGCTAGTAACTTTACGATGCGATG